CATCATTGTTGTTTGGCGGGCCCAGGCTGAATTCAAACCTGCCACCTTAGGTGTATGTGGCTGGCGCCTTAGCCACTTGAGCCACAGGCGCTGAGCTGACACAGAGTTTCAATTTCAGTTTTGGAGGATATAAGAATTCTGAAGATGGTTGGTAGTGATGCTCTCATACAATAGGAGCATACTTAATGCTATAGAATTGTACAGTTAAAATTGGCTACAATGGTAAATTTATGTTACATATGCTTTTTTTTGAGACAGAGTCCCACTTTGTTGCCCTTCATAGAATGCTGTGGCATCACAGCTCACAGGAACCTCAAACTCTTGGGCTCAAGCAATTCTCTGCCTCAGCCTCCCTTGTAGCTGGGACTCAGGCGGCCGCCACAATGCTTAGCTACTTTTAGAGAAGGGATCTCTTTTTTTTTTTTTTTTTTTTTTGAGACAGATTCGCAAGCTGTCACCCTGGGTAGAGTTCCATGGCATCATAGTTCACAGCAACCTCCAATTTGGGCTTAAGCAATTCTCTTGCCTCAGGTTTTCAATTTTTAGTAGAGACAGGGTCTCGCTTTTGCTTAGGCTGGTCTTGAAGTCCTGAGCTCAAGCTATCCACCCACCTCCGCCTCGCAGAGTGCTAGGATTACAGGTGTCGTCTTGCCTGGCCTAATGATATATATGCTTTGCCACAATAATTTTAAAAAGCAGGTTGGGCACAGTGGCTCACACCTGTAATCCCAGCACTTTGGGAGGCTGAGGTGGGAGGATCACTTGAGCGTAGGAGTCCAAGACCATCCTGAGCAAGAGTGAGGCCCCCATCTCTACTAAAAATAGAAAAACTAGCCAGGCATTGTGACGGGTGCCTATAGTCCCAGCTACTTGGCTAAGGCAGGAGTATCACTTGAACCGAGGAGTTTGAGGTTGCTGTGAGCTAGGTTGACACCCCAGCTCTCTAGTCTGGAGCAATAGAGTAAGACTGTCTTCAAAAAAAAAAAAAAGCAAGTGATATGGTAGAAATGACTCAGATGTCATGGGACTTCTGGGCTTCTCCTCCTGGAGTCTGTCCATGTCACAGTCTCTCCCTGGGAACATCCCCAGGCTCTAGCAGTGTGAAACCTGTGGGGAGCAGGCAAGGAGACCAGATGGAATGAAATACTGGCATGTCTCCTGAGGCTGGAGTTCAAATTGAAACTCAGGTTTCTCAAGCTGCTTCAGTAGCCTTACCTATGGAATGGGGGCTCTGTGGGCAGCGGCATCCTTGGCTCTAGCCACATAGACTTGCCATTGCTCGTGCTGTCACCATCTGACCTGTGTACATTCTGCCCTGTGCCAGGCTGCCTTTTCCTGCTTTGTCTTCCTGGAAAATGCTTACTCATCCTCCACGGCCAAGGTCAACAGCTCCTTTACTGGGAAGTCTTTCCAGCATATCTGATTTGTCACCATCTCTTCAGTACCAATCTGTTGGTATATGTTTCCGGCACCATGACCATGAGGAACCCATCTCCTCTTCTATCTTGCCATTGGGCTCTGTGGGCTGCTACATAATTAGGGCTGGGAAAGGTATTGCTGATCCTTCTCCTCAATTCCCTCTTTGGGCCTATTTCCTCATTTGTATAAGTAGAGACCTCCACCCACCTACCAGGCAGGCCCTTTGGGCATATTCACTGACATGGTATAAGGAAAGCACTCAGCTCACAGTGGATACTAGATACATGGTCCCCCATTATTGTAGATTTGGTGGTATCCTCTGGGGCTGCCCTCCAGGGTCACCTCAGATAACTTCCTTCCCCCATGACCTCCTAAGGTGACTTTCCCATCCTCCTAACCTCTCTGTCAGGATCAGCCCCCTTTCCCACACCAGACCTCACTCCATCCTCACCTGGCCATAGAAATCGTCCTCGGCACTTGGCTTTGTCTTGTGATGCTTGGCATCCATGCGGACACTGAGCAGGTCCGTCCTGGCCTGTGGAAGTCTGGACTGGGCACTCCCCACAGCAGTCTTCAAAGCCAGAAGCAGCAGTGGTGTCATTCACCAGGCCACATCCATCTGATCCTGCCAGGGAGCCACAGTGAAAGAAGGACAAGGCCTGAGGGAGGGAGGGGCAGCAAACGCATGACTCTCTCCCAGGTTTCATGGCCCCGCCCAAACCCAGATCTTCTGCCCTCCCCACCCTGCATACCCCACAGGCCAGCTGAGTCCAGGAATGAAGAGTGTGTAGAGCCAGGGAGCCCTGTCCCAGTCTGGAGGAGGCACTTCTCCACCCGCTTCCTACCCAACAGTGCTATGGGTCCAGGCTCTGGCACTAGCTTGCCCTGTGATCTTGGAGGGAGTCACCACCCCCTCTAAACTTCCCCTCTTAGATTTCACCAGTGTTTTGTGCAAGTCCCCACAGAACATGATCCACTGATGGGAGGTGGGATCTGAGGAGAAAAGGGGCTCCAGCCAGCCTCGGGCTTCTGCTGGAAGCCCATCCCTCTACCCCAGGGCAGCTGAGGTTTTTTCTTTTTGTTTTTTGTTTGTTTGTTTGTTTTTTGAGACAGAGTCTCAAGCTGTCACTCTGGGTAGAGAGCTGTGGTGTCATGGCTCACAGCAACCTCCAACTCTTGGCTGATTTTTTGAGAAAAGCCAAGCAAACAAACAAATAAGAAAATAAAGCATCTGGAGCAATGATGAGTGTGCCAAGAACCAAGGGTTATGATTAATCCAATCCTGTGCAATGGAGAGGTGGGAAAACCCTTTCCCATGTGTTAGAGAAGGGAAGATATTCTTTGATCATTGACAAGTGAGATCTATGTACCTCAGCTATACCTTAGTTTCCACTTCCACATATTAGAATACCAGTTCTTGGATCTTCCAGCCACCATGCAAGAGTCTGATGGCTTCACAGGAGAGATCATGATGAGAGGCCTCGGACTACATAGGGAGCAGGAGGCCCATACTGAGACCAGCCTTCCAGATATTGCCCAAGTGCCAAACATGCAGAATTACACCTTGGATGCTCAAGACCAGCCTACAAACTGGCTGCATTCCACCAAGCGACCTTAGTTGCTGCCACATGGAGCAGAATAATGCTCAGCTGACTCTTGTGCAAATTCCTGACCCACAAAATCTTGAAATATAATAAAATGGTTGTCAAGCCACTAAGTTTATTGATTTTTTTAAAACTTTGTATCTTGAAATGCTTTTAGAATTAACAGAAAAATTACATAAAGAAAGTTCCTGAATGCCTTTCATCCAGCTTTCCCAAATGTTGGATGATATCTCAAACTTTACATACCAAAGTTCATTTACTTTAAAAATCAAGAAGTTAAGGGTGGTGCCTGTGGCTCAAAGGGGTAGGGCCCCAGTCCCATATGCTGGAGGTGGCAGGTTCAAACCCAGCCCAAGCCAAAAACTGCAAAAAAAAAAAAAAAAATCAAGAAAGTAACATTTGAAGCAATACTTTTTTTTTTTTTTTGGCAGAGTCTCCCTATGTTGCCCTGGGAGGAATGCCATGATGTCACAGCTCACAGAAACTTCAAACTCTTGGGTCCAATGATTCTCTTGCCTTAGTCTCCGAAGTAGCTGGGACTGCAGGTGCCCGCCACAACGCCCAGCTATTTTTTTTTTTTTTTTTTGGTTGTAGTTGTCATTGTTGTTTGGCAGGCCCGGGCTGGATTCTAACCTGCCAGCTCCAGTGTATGTAGCTGGTGCCCTAGCGGCTGAGCTACAGGTGCTGAGCCTGAAGCAATACTATTAACTAATGTACAAACTGTATTCCATTTTTGCCAGTTTTCCCACCAATGTCCTTCTCTTGTCGAGGATCTAATTCATGATTCCAGGTTCCATTTAGTTGTCATGTTCCCTTAGTCTGCTCCTATCTGTGACAGTTCCTTAGCCTGTCTTCATCTTTTATGACCTTCACACTTTTGAAGAATTACCGGTCAGTTATTTTGCAGCCTGTCCCTCAATTTGGATTTGTTAGACATTTTCTCATAATTAAATTGAAATTATGCATTTTTGGCAAGAAAATCGCAAGAAAATTGAAGAAGTGATGTCCCTTTCTCAGTGCATGACAGCAAGGGGTACATGATGTGCCTATGTCTTATTGATGGTAATCATTTGGTTAAAGAAGTTTCTTTAACATATAATTGTTACTTTTTCCTTTATAAGTAGTAAGTGGGGAGACAACTATACAAATATTCTCATCGTATTTTATCACTCAATTTGGATATTTTATTTTATCACTCAATCTTGACTGCAAAAATAAACTAGAAATTTATGGAGTGGTTTATTATGCAGCAATAGAAAACTAGTAACATCTTGGCAATTAGTGTTGCCTTTTTTTGCTCTGAGGAAAAAAAACTGGTTTATAACCTTACTACAGCCACTCAGAAGTTAATCACTAACATAAACCTGCCAGGAAACACAGAATACTCATTGCGCTAATCTTTAAGTCCAACCAGGTACAAAACCGAGTAGTTACAATAGTCACACTTATTTACTTGTAAACATCTGCACAATGCTTTTAACAATAGACTGAATAATCAATCGGGAAATCAACACTACCTCAGCTACTTGCTGATTCATTCTTGTGAGACAGTCAACAGATTTCATAGGCAGAAATACTGGCTCCTTATGGCTTCTTCAATCATAAGAATGTTTCTAAGCAAATACTGCCTTTTTTTTTAAGACAGAGCTTCAAGCTATCACCTGGAATAGAGTGCTGTGGTATCACAGCTCACAGCAACCTCCAACTCGTGGGCTCAAGTGATTCTCCTGCCTCCACCTCCCAAGTAGCTGGGACTGGGGCAGTGCCTGTGGCTCAAAGGAGTAGGGTGCTGACCCCATATGCTGGAGGTGGTGGGTTCAAGCCCAGCTCTGGCCAAAAAAAAAAAAATACTCCAAGTAGCTGGGACTACAGGCACCTGCCACAACACCTGGCTAATTTTTTTTTTTTTTTTTTTTGGTTGCAGCCGTCGTTGTTTGGCGTGCCCAGGCTGGATTCGAACCCGCCAGCTCAGGCGTATGTGGCTGACGCCTTAGCCGCTTGAGCCACAGGCACCGAGCCTGAGCAAGTACTTCTAATGGAAATTGATCACAGATCTGGGAGCTTTGCTCCCTATAATTATTCCAGCAACCATAGTCATGTTAATGCCACCTCTGCACTTGTACCAACATCCTTAGAACCTACTCCACCATGCCCATTGTTTGTAAAGATAGGGAGGTGTGTCTTCAGCCAATGAACTTCTGACATCATACAGTCCATACAATCCTTGCCCTTCAAACCCAGGTTCCACCATCATGATGAAGGCCACGTCTGGCTGACTTGCCGAGGGTACTAAATAATCTACAGTAGGTCCTGATAAGCTATGGGAAGAGTGGCATGGCCATGAGCTGAGATGAGGAAAGTTGGAAGTGGAATAGCAATGGAGTGCAACAGGGAAAGGAGAATTCTGGAATTGAGAGAAATAGCAGAGTCATACTCAGTAAATAAAATCTGCTGAGTCTCAACAGCGTAGAGACTTTGAATATAGGAGGAGGAGAGGTAAGGGACAAAAATAATCAGGTTTCTGGCTTATGAAGTGGGGAGATATTGGTGCAATTTTCTGAGATGGAGAAGCTGGGGGGAGGTACTGGCCAGTGCCACTGCAGGTATTTGGGACATCAAGACTCTCAGTGGCAGCTGCTGGGGGTGATACTGATTCTAGCCCCAAATCTTCATTCTCCATCTCCAGCTAGCTCCATCTCTCACTTCTTTAGGAAAGTGTTCAAAGGTCTTCATCCTCTCTGGAATATTGTGTCCATCCTCACACCTGCACACTCCATTCTGTGGAAGTTGGAAAAGGTCTTTAGTCTTCTTACCATACTTGTCAACATCTGATATGTCTATGTGTTTCTGTGACTATCTTCCTGTCTCCTGCCATTACATAATAAATGTCGGCTCAGCACCTATAGCTCAACCGGCTAAGGCGCCAGCCACGTACACCTAAGGTGGCGGGTTCGAATCCCCAGCCTGGACCCGCCAAACAACAATGACGGCTGCAACCAAAAAATAGCCTGGCATTGTGGCGGGCGCCTGTGGTCCCAGCTACTTGGGAGGCGGAGGCAGGAGACTCGCTTGAGCCCAGGAGTTGGAGGTTGCTGTGAGCTGTAATGCTACGGCACTCTGCCCAGGGGGACAGCTTGAGGCTCTGTCTCAAAAAAAAAAAAAAAATAAAAAAAATAAATGTCACAGAGTGGGGATTTGTGTTCATTTTGTCCAAAGCTTTATCTTGAGTGCTTAGAATGGTGCCTGGCACATAGTGAATGTTCAGTATTTGTTAATTGGTTAAATGGGAGCATGTTGAATAAAGGGTGAGGTGGTAGTAGGGACCAGAATGATCCCTGGAGGCCACCTCTGATTTCTGTGTCTTTGAAACTGGTTCAATTTTTTTTTTTAAATTGTGAGTCTCAGTCTTGCCCTAGGTGGAGTGCAGTGGACTCATCAAAGCTCACTGAAGCCTTAAACTCCTGGGCTCAAGCAATCCTCCTGCCTCAGCCCTCTGAGTAGCTGGGACTTAAAGGCATGTACCACCATGCCCAGCTAATTTTCCCATTTATAGTAGAGGCGGTGTCTCACTCTTGTTCAGGCTGATCTTAAATTCCTGACCTCAGCCAGGCATGGTGGTGGTACCTGTAGTCCTAACTACTTGGGAGGGTGAGGCAAGAGGGTCACTTGAAGAGTGGAGGTTGAGCTACAATGATGCCACAGTACTCTATCCAAGGCAACAGTGAGACCCTATCTTAAAACAAACAATCAAACCATCTTCTGACCTCAAGGGATCCCTATAGTGGCCTCCCCAGAGTGCTAGGATTGCAGGTGTAAGCCACTGCACCCAGCCAATACTGGTTCAATTTAGACTAAGTGAATCTTGGTGAAATGAACCTGGCCCTGAAGGCTGAAAGCATAAGGGACAATGGTGGAGAGAAACACAAGCTGGGATGGGGAGGAGGCGGTGGAACCTCAGTTTCCTCATCTGAAATGTAAAATGAGGTTTGGATTCCCTCTCTTTTAAGGTCTCTTC